GGAATAGTGGCAATTGGCCTACAGGTGGTGGTGGGGAACCTTATGAATCTGCTATATTATTGTATGCTTGTTCCTGGCTAGTCATTCCTAACAGTGACCATGTTACTGCGACCATAGAACTGACAATAAAGCAGAACCTTTCTTGGAAGTGTGCGCTCCGTTGTTTGGCTGTGGGTCCTGACAGTGGCCTGACCAAAACAGTGTACAGCAGGACTATGACATCTTGCGATTTGGATGTTATGCCTCTGTTGATACACCCCAAGATTGCATTAGCCTTTTTTGTTTTCGCATCACAATGACTGCTCATATTTAACTTACGGTCCACCCTTACCCTAAGATCTTGTTCACATACACTGCTATCCAGAATTATATCCCCCGTCCAGTATGCGTGTTCCTCATTTTTTGTTACCCAGATGTAGAATGTAATGTCATGTAGAATGTAATATGATTTTTTCCCCGGCCTTTGGGATCACTTTTAAGTGATTTCCTCTAGATAGCTGTATAAGGGAGTTTTCTAAAAACAGACCTGTCTTTTTATTACTGAATGAAGAAAAGTTGTTCACGTTTGTCACATATCATTTTAAGTGCTGTGACCCACATCCTGAATCTGCCATATCCTGAATCAGTCCCTCGGTCCATCAAGGTCAGTCTTGTCTCCTTAGACCGGCAGCAGCTCTCCAGGGTCTCATGCTGAGGTCTTCCACATCACCTACTGCCTGGTCCTTTTTAAATGGAGATGCCAGGGATTGAACCTGGGACCTTCTGCATGAGGAGGAGATGCTCTACCACTGAACCACAGCCCCACCCTTACTGTCCTTGAAGTTTAGGTTGTAAGTTTCTGTTGCTACATCTGCAGTTGGCTTACAGTTGCAAATGTAACAGCACATAGCAAGCAGAATCGAAACACCTGTGCTATAGTCTGCCTTTCTCCCCGGCCCAAAGCAGCTCTCATCATTCTCCTCCATTTATCTTCACAGCAACCCTGTGAGGTAGGTTAGGCTGAGTGAGTATGACTGGCCCAAGGTCACCCAGTGAGCTTCCATAGCATGAGTGGGGATTCGAATCTGGGTCTTCAAGATTTCTATGTTTGGTGTAGTGATTAGGAGCATGGACTCTAATCTGGGAGAACTGGGTTTGATTCCACACTCCTCCACATGCAGATGCTGGTGTGACCTTGGGTCAGTCACAAGTTCTTTCAGAGCTGTTCTCTCAAGGGCAGTCCTTGAAAGAGCTCTCTCAGCCTCGCCTATGTCACAGGGTGTCTGTTGTGGGGAGGGGAAGGGAAAGGAGATTGTAAGTGGCTCTGAGTCTCCGAGTGAAGGGCGGGGTATAAATCCAATCTCCTCCTCCTCTTTTTCTTCTTCTTCTACTACTACTACTACTACTATGTTGGTATCTCAGAGAAAATATGTTGTCTTGTTAGCATTGCTTTAGAATAGATTTTTAAACCTAAGTGGTTGCTTAATTTTGTTTAGCATCTTAAAACCTCTCAGTTTGTTGGGGGAAAGGGAGTTGAATGATACATTATTGTATTTACGCAAAGATGACCTTGCCTGGATAAAAAAGCCCCCCCCCCCCCCCCCCCCAAATGACACATACATACTTGTGTGAACACAACTTTTACAGGACATAATTGCAACTTGAATGTGAATGTAAGACACCCCCCTCTTTTCTGAAGGCATACCTGTAAAAAACCTAGTCTTTCATTGAAATAAATACTTTAATTTTCTTCCATCATAGATCCTTATCAGCATGTGGATGTTAACTGGACATTAAAAATCTTCCAAGAGCTGCTAAAAGGAGTGTATTATATCCACAGTATGGGAATCCTTCACCGGGACATTAAAGTGAGTGATGTGGGTCCTCTCCTTGCAAAAGGAAAATTCATTTCCAAATTCTTGCAACAGGAAGATTCATTTCCAAATTCTGTCACTACTCACACAGCAAATGCATGCAATCGTAAGATGTGCAAATTAATATATTCATCATTAGGGACACTTTGCACACTGGGAGTATAATCTGCTTTTACAGCAGAATTATTTATTTATTGCACATTATGCTGTTTTCTCCTCCTGGATGAGCTTAGGGCTGTCTGTCACATTTTTTTTTACGCTTCGCTTCCTTCAAGGAGCTCTGGGCAGCAAATATGTTTTCCCTTTCTTCTGTTTTAGCCTTATAAGAACTCTTTGAGGTAGACTAGATTAGAGAGGGATGTTGCACCCTGTGAGCTTGTGGGGTTTTAAATGTGGCCGACTCACAGATCTGATTCCTTCCTCATTGCAGATGAATGTATGAAGGTGCCTTAAATGCAGTCCAGACCAGGCCTGTCTAGATCAGTGCTTACCTTGTGCTGGGGCGGCAGCTTTGCAGGGTCCTAGGCAAAAGTTGTGCTAGGGGAGCAGCAGTCCCGGAGGCACCTGCTTGAATGTGGAGTGCCTCAGGGGACAGTACTCTCCCCGATGCTATTTAACATATACATGCGCCCCCTCGCCCAGATTGTCCGGAGGGTATGGGCTTGGGTGTCATCAATATGCAGATGACACCCAGCTCTATCTAATGTTGGGCGGCCAGTCGGACTCCGACCCAGAAGATCTTCACCGGGCCCTACCGGCCGTGGCTGGGTGGCTCAGGCTGAGCTGGCTGAAGCTGAACCCGGCAAAGACGGAGGTCCTGTGCCTGGGTCGGGGTGGTATGGGATTGGGGCTCCCGGCCTTCGATGGGGCTCCTCTCGTGCCAGCTTCGGAGGTTAGGAGTTTGGGAGTGCTCCTGGACCCCACCTTAACGATGGAGGCCCAGGTGGCGGCCACTGCCAAAGCAGCCTATCATCTACGGCTGGTGCGGCAGTTGGTCCCCTTCCTTAGCCGCGATGATCTGGCCACAGTGATCCATGCGACGTTACCTCGAGGCTAGTCTACTGTAACGCTCTCTACATGGGGCTGCCTTTGTCACAAATCCAGAGGCTGCAGCTGGTGCAGAATGCGGCGGCCAGGTTGTTGTTGGGTGTTCTTAAATGGGAACACATCCAACCTGTGCTGAAAGCGCTGCACTGGCTGCCTATAGCGTTCCGGATTCGCTTCAAAGTGCTGGTGCTTACCTTTAAAGCCCTATATGGCCAGGGTCCGGCATACCTGAGGGACCGCCTTTCCCCACACAGGCCCCAAAGACCACTTTGGTTGGGGTCGCAACACCACCTGGTGACCCCCGGGCCCTAAAAAGACCAGGCTTGCTACCACGAGGGCCAGGTCCTTTTCGGTGGCGGCTCCTACCTGGTGGAATGAGCTCCCAGAAGAGATCAGGGCCCTGCAGGATCTTTTACAGTTCAGCAGGGCCTGCAAGATGGAGCTCTTCAGCCAGGCTTTTCAGTAGAAGCCGCTGCCGCCACTACCACCACCGTGCAACTGCAGAGCAGTATCGCCGGGTTGGGCCGATTGGTCATCTGGAACATCGTGGCCCATAGTGTCCCCCCCCCCTTTGATCCCTTCCTGATATGCAATGGGGAGTGTGTATTTTCAGTCTTTCATGTATCCTGTTTGATGTCAATTTTAGTCTTAATAGTTTTTAACCTGTTTTACCTCTACTGCACTTTGTGCCTATGTAAGCCGCCCTGAGCCTGCGTGCGGGGAGGGCGGGGTATAAATGAAAATATAAATAAATGTCCTCTCCCTTCTCTTCCCCCTCTGCTGCCTGAGATATTTTTAACTTGGGGGTGGTTGGGATTGAAGTTGTGTCCTCCACAGAAAACATGTGCTCAGTCACTAAAACCGTGAGCCTCCTTAACGGGTAGAGAAAAGAGAGGGGGAGAAATGTAACACAGCAAAATTGAATCAAGTACCAAATTGAATCAAGGGCCAAAATCTAAAATGAAATATGAGCTAGTTGCACGTAAAATACATGTATTTATTACAAAGATATTTAAAACATATCTGGGCCCAACACAAGCCTCAAAATATAGTAACAAGTAACATGTGTCAGAGAAAACAATAGTGACCTAATGCGTTTCAACTCCATTGGGCCTTCCTCAGAGGTCAAACAGTAAGAAGGTACAAATAGGCTCCTATTACAGTCAAAAGACAATACGCAGGTAGACCAAAACAGGAGTGCTGTTAAGGCAGAAAAGAATAATATTTCAGTAACAATTTAAAATGCTGTGTCTCATAATGATATATATTATTTAAAAAGTCAAATTTAGTAAGCTAAATTTATTGCACTTACTTCAAAAAAGAAATCATAAGACACAAGAAAAATACTTCATGTGAGGCCTCCTAGGCTCTAGCCTTGTGTCAAATGAAGAAGCACACGAGTTGAATGATACTGCTATTGTGTGCCTAGATATAGACAATGGGGGGGGGGAGTTTTCTGATAATAACTTGTGCCAAAATATAAAATAAACTACACTTTAACCGAGTAAATTTCAAAACAAAGAACATACCTTCCAATGTTGGTCCAAAAGGTCTAGGTGTGAAGGCCCTTATCAGAGCCAGTGTGCCTTCAGTGCCAGGCAGTGCTATAAGCCTGAAGTAATTAGCCTATATATAGTAGTGCTAGATGATGCAATCCGGATGTAATGCAAGATATACTCAAGTTGGGTGATACAAAAAATACTGCAATGTCATGCTAGATAGGAAATGTAAAGAGATCGTACCAGTAATCAAAACACAGCACAGCAAATATTGTACAATACCTAATAATGCAGATAATGCCCATAGTAGGCCTACCATCCTACCAACATCCAACAAGAAGTGTATTAGACGGCTCTGGACTGAGGTGATTTGCTGCTGCCATCTTGTTTTTATTGAATTGGTTTTAATTGTATATTTATTGTTGCATCTTTGTTGTGAGCCACCCTGAGCCCATCATGGGATATAAATGCAATAAATAAATAAAATAAATGGGCAAAAAAATTTGGTGCTTTGTTGGTGCGTTGTAAAGGGATTGATACTGTCCCTTTAAATTCCTATCTAGCACGACATTCCAGTATTTTTTGTATCACCCAACTTGAGTATATCTTGCATTACATCCGGATTGCATCATCTAGCACTGCTAAATATAGGCTAATGACTTCAGGCTTATAGCACTGCCTGGCACTGAAGGCACACTGGCTCTGATAAGGGCCTTCACACCTAGATTTTTCAGACCAACATTGGAAGGTATTTTCTTGATTTTGAATTTTACTCTGTTAAAGTGTAGTTTATTTTATATTTTGGCACAAGTTATTATCAGAAAACTTTTCCCCTTTATTGTCTATTTCCAGGCCCACAATAGCAGTATCATTCAACTCGTGTGCTTCTTCACTTGACACAAGGCTAGATCCTAGGAGGTCTCACATGAAATATTTTTCTTTTGTCTTCATTTCTTTTTTGAAGCAAGTGCAATAAATTTGGCTTAATAAATGTGACTTTTTAATTAATATATATCATTATTAGCCATAGCATTTTAAATTGTTACTGAAATATTATTCTTTTCTGCCTTAACAGCATTCCTGTTTTGGTCCTAGATCTACCTGTGTATTGTCTTTTGATTGAAAGAAGAGCCTATTTGTACCTTCTTACTGTTTGGCCTCTGAGGAGTATAGCCACTGGGGTCCAGGGCTGGGAGCATTGCGAAATACAGAATCAGTTAGCATGAGGAGGGTGTTTGTTCTGGCTGCCTTATACTGAATCATACCTTTGGTCCATCAAAGTCACTGTTGTCTACACAGACTGATAGCACCTCCCCCAGGATCTCAGGTAGAGGTCCTTCACATCGCCTACTACCTGATCTTTTAATCTTTTCTTCCCTTCCACTGTGTGAACTGAAGTGACTCCCAAACCCAGTGCCTCCCTGCCAAAGGCAGAGAGTTTCTTGGCACAGAAACTGGCATTGAAAGCCTTCTTGGAATAAATTTGAAAGTTTCTGATGTATAGATAATGGTAAGAAGTGTTTTGAGTTTAAGTGATAAAGAGTACAAGATATGTCTCTTTCTGTTTAAGCTCCATGGGCACCGACTTATCAAACCTCTTTACACAGACAGGCTTATATGTGCCCTGTGGAACAATTCATCTTCCTTTCTTGAACTGCAGCCCATTACTCAGACTCTGAAGGCAGGTTCTGATATAGCAAGAGAGAGCTTAACATTAAATAAAGTACCACTGTACACATGGCACTCCCTGTGGTGGTGGTGATAAGTGACTACCATGGTGACTTCGTAAGGTTTACCAGGCAAGAGGCAAACAGAAGTCATTTGCCGTTGCCTGCCTCTGTGTAGCAGCCCTGGATTTCCTTGGTGGTTTGATCTCCCTTCCAAGTATTAACCAAGGCCAGTCCTACTTAGCTTCTAAGACAGGGGTGTCAAACATGCGGCCCGGGGGCCAGATCAGGCCCCCCGGAGGGCTTCCATCAAACCCGCAGTGGAACTGGCCATCTCCTGCTTCCAGTTCTGCTGCTGCTGCTGCATCATAGCTTGCTTTGCCGGACTTTCTGAATCACTCAGCCATTTCATGTTTTCACCTGGGTCCTAGGCTCAGAACTCTGAGCATGAAATTTCTGTGGTGAATGTCAATAAATCAAAAGTAGGTTTGCAGCTTCTAGAGCTAATGTTTTAAGCATGTTTTTATTTTAAGTTAAAAAAAATCTTTGTGTTTGTGTCCTTTATAAAGTTTATATCTCTGCTACCTGGGACTACATTTTATGACACACATGGCCTGGCCCCAAAAGGTCTCATTTATGTCAGATCCAGCCCTCATAACAAATGAGCTTGACACCCCTGTTCTAAGATCTGACGAGATGGGGTTAGCCTGGGCCATCCAGGTCAGGGTGGCGCTCCCTATGTATGGGGCCAGTTTTGCTGTTCCTTTGCTACCTTTCTTAG